GCCCAGCAGGTCGAGGCTGCGGTGGCCGGGAGCGGCCAGTGCCCTCCAGTCTGGGTGACATAGTGAGACTCCAACTCAAAAAAAAAAAAGAAAGAGCGAGCTCAGGAGATGATAGCCGGCTGTGCAGGAAGCATCCTGCCTTGGCTCGAAGGGCCCAGCCGTCAGCCCACAGCCGAGGACCCGGGACCCTAGACCTGCAACTGGGTCCCCGTCATCCCCGCCCTCTGGGGTCTTTGCCGAGCCTCAGACTCACTCCGCAGCCCGCCCCCCTCCCGCCAGGCGCCCACTGCTCGGGCTTCCCTGGGTGGCAAAGGGCAGGGATGGGAGGGAGGACGCTTTATTTTCTCGCCCCCTCTCCCCCGGGTGTCACGGGAGAGCTACGAGCCACGAGAGGCTCCCGGTGGCCCCGCCGACCCGGCTTCACCTTGCCCACACTGGCCAGCAGCCGAAGGCCCGAGACCTGGTCATCACGGCTCAGCCAGAATTCAGCGTTGTCGTCCGCAGCAACGGCAAACTGGACCTGCCCTGGCGGCGGAGGAGAGAGTTTCCGGATGAGGGCGAGAAGGCGCCCGTGAAGGGCCGAAGGCCTTTCATGCCGACCTGGGATTAAACTCCCTTGGGGCTGGGCGCGGCGGCTTTTCTCTCTGTGAAGTGGGGGTTTCTACCTCCTGGGAGACAATGGGAAGGCGGAGAAGACGTGTAGGGAAGCCTGGCATGGTGGCTCACACCTGTCATCCCAGCACCCTGGGAGGCCGAGCCCGGTGGACCGCCTGGTCCACTTTAAGACCAGCCTGGGCCGGGCTCGGTGGCTCAGCCTGTCATCCCAGCACTTTGGGAGGCCGAGGCGAGTGGATCGCCTGAGCCCGCGGGTTCGAGACCAGCCCGGGCAACTTGGCAAGACCTCGTCTCTACAATAAGTCAAAAATTAGCCGGGTGTGGTAGGTGCATGCCTGTAGTTACGGCTCCTTGGAAGGCGGAGGCGGAAGGATCGCCGGAGCCCAGCAGGTCGAGGCTGCCGTGGCTGGGAGCGGCCACTGCCCTCCAGTCTGGGCGACAGAGTGAGACTCCGACTCAAAAAAAAAAAAGACCAGCCTGAGCAACATAGTAAGAGAAAAAAAAAAATTAGCTGAGTGTGGTGGCACAGGCCTGTAGTCCCAGCTACTCGGGAGGCTGAGGTAGGAGGATCGCCTGAGCCCAGGAGGTCGAGGCTGCAGTGAGCTGTGATCATGCCGCTGGACTCCAGCCTGGGCAACTGAGTGAGACTCCAACTCCAAAAATAATAATAATAATACTTATAGTCCGGACGCGGTGGCTCAGCCTGTCATTCCAGCACTTTGGGAGGCCGAGACAAGAGGACTGCCTGAGCCCGGGGTTCGAGACCAGCCTGGGCAACTTGGCGAGACCGCGTGTCTACAATAAGTCACAAAAACTAGCCAGGCGTGGTGGCGTGCATCTGTAGTTCCAGCTACTTGGAAAGCTGAGGCGGAAGGATCGCCGGAGCCCAGCAGGTCGAGGCTGCTGCGAGCCGTGATCGTGCCACTGGACTCCAGCCTGGGCAACAGAGTGAGACTCCAACTTCAGGGGGAAAAAAATACTTATAGAGCGCCGCTTCCAAACGCAAATCAGGAAATGAAGTGGCAGCCTGGGGGGACGGATGAGACCCCGCTTGACTCGACTGCCCCTCTCTCCCCGAAGGTGGACTGACAGGGTCTAGAGAGGCTGCCCAGGGCAGTGCATTCTTCAACGAGGGGCTTATGTTCTCTGGATCCCCTGCAGACCCTGGAGCAGGAAGAAGGATGGGGCTTTAGGGCTGGCCTCACCGTCAGCAAAGGGATGCAGGTAGCCAAAGATGCGGAGGCCGTAGTTGGTCCATCTGGGGGACACAGCCAGCTTCCTCAGCGTTGTGCGGGTCTGTCCCAAGAAAGGTGAGGGAACTGTTACCCCGTGGAGGGACGAGGAAATTGGCCCACCAGGGCTGGGGGAAGACCAGGAGGCGGCTGAGACAGGAGGGACCACGGCTGCGATTTGGCGAGGAGAGAGCAGGCTCGGTTTTGGTTTCTGCTTGCCTCTTCCAGGTGACCTTGTGCAGTGCACAACCAGCACAACCGTACATGGAGGCCCTGGGTCAACTATATTGCTCACCAATTGAGAGCCTGAAACTGAAAACACTGCAAGAATCCCTGGGAAGGGAACAAGGACAATGCTAAGGACAGAGGAAAAGAGAGCCCAAGAGATACAGGAAAGATTAGGGACCAGAAAAGGAGGCCAAGTGGGGTGGCTCATGCCTATAATCCCAGCGCTTTGGGAGGCTGAGGCAAGAGGATAGCTTGAGCCCGGGAGTTCGAGACCAGCCTGGGCAAGACAGAGACACCCTGGTCCTACCAAAAATAAAAAGCTAGCTGGCATGGTGGCATGCGCCTGTAGCCCCAGCTACTTGGGAGGCTGAGTCGGGACGGCTGGGGCCCAGGAGGCCAAGGCTACAGCGGGCTATGATGGCGCTGCTGCCCTCTGGTTGGGACGACAGAGTGAGACTCTGTCTCTAAAAAATCAAAAGGCCAGGCTCGGTGGCTCAGCCTGTCATCCCAGCGCTTTGGGAGGCCGAGGTGAGTGGATGGCCTGAGCCCGCGGGTTCGAGACCCACCTGGGCAACTTGGCAAGACCTCGTCTCTACAACAAATCAAAAAAAAAAAATCAGCCAGGCATGGTGACGCACGCCTGTAGTTCCGGCTTCTTGAAAGGCTGGGGCGGAAGGCTCGCCGGAGCCCAGCAGGTCGAGGCTGCGGTGGCCGGAGCGGCCACTGCACTCCAGTCTGGGCGACGGAGTGAGACTCCGACTCAAAAGACAAAAAAGCCCAAAGAAGGAAGGATGAGGGAGACAGAAGGCAGGGGGCGAGGCGCCAGAAGCGGCAGAGGAGCGGGTGCGGAGCGGCGGGCGGCCGTGGGCACTCACGTGGGGGTAGAGCGGGAAGTGCACGTTTCTCCGGAGCTGCTGGATGGAGCTGCCGCACCAGTCCTCAAACACGTGCAGGTTGGCCCGGCCCCGGAACTGCGGGCCAGAGACTGTGGTGGGGCGGCCGACACCCCACCCCCCGCGGCGAGAGACGCGGCCCCGGGCCCCCTCGGTGTCCCGGGCCCATCCCGGCACCCACGGCCTCTCCCAGGAACCTGGCACCGACGCCCACCCGGCGGCCCGGCCCGGAGACGGGGGCTGCTGCGAGGGCCGGTGCGTGTGCGTGCACACACCAACACATCACCCACACCACACACGCTCACACCTCCCGCTGCCTGCTCCTTCCCTGCTGGAAAGGGGTCGGTCTGCGGGCCTCAGGCTGGGGAGTGATGGCCCTGACCGACCGGGCCAGAGGACAGGGGCACCTGGAGGGAGGAGCCCCAGCTGGGGCTCCCCCTCCTCCCTTGCCAGGTGAGAAAAGCACCACCGGTGTCTGCAGGGGAAACCCTATCCACCCAGCCCAGCTGACTCCGAGTAGCCGGAATTACAGGCACGCGCCACCACGCCCGGCTAGTTGTTTTAAATTTATTGTAGAGATGAGGTCTTGCCTGGGCGGGTCTCGAACCCGCAGGCTCAGGCAATCCACTCAGTTCTTGATGAGTTTCAGATTGCCCCTGCCCCCTCCCCGGGGGGTTGAGGCTCCAGGCGGTGGGGGCCGGGCCTCGAGGACTCCCTGCGCACCGCCCTGCCGGCTCCACCGTGGCCCAGCCCGTGTCCAACCTGAGCCGCCCTTCGGAGAACGTGGAGGGGGACACTCAGACTGGACACCCAGGCGGAAGGAAGCGGACTGGGTCTCCGCCAGCAACTGGCAGGAGGGAGGGTGCGGGCACAGGGGAGAGGAGGAGAAGGGTGGCAAAGGTCACGCCTGGCAGGAATGCCAGAGGTCGGGTGTGGCCCGGGGAGGGGCACTGCCTCTGGGGAAGCATGGCTGAATCCAGAGAGACCCAAGACGGCAGGTCTCTCCCTGGCACTGGAGTCACTTGGCCTTTCCCGGGCACCCTGGTGGGGCCAGGGCCAGGAACGCGTGGCCTTGGGAAGCAGCCATCGTGCGCCGGCATGCGCGTGGGG